GGATTATATCAGGGAAGTGGGAGCCTGGTTTTGGAGGAGGGCAGGGATGAGACGAACTCCAATGGAGGGTGATCCTGAGGCATCCTAGAGGTAGAGAGACACTGGGTACCAGATTTATTCAGAGCCAGAAAACCCAGCAACCATCTGCTTGGTTTTCCAGAAAGGTTTGTGTTTGGGTTCCTTGGTGTATTTGTCTACCCAAGTCATGTTGATAAAATCCCTCATGCCACAGGTCCCAAAAATAGATGCTCATCTCATGGAACAACCAGTATCAAAGAAACGGATGTTGGGAATAATGAAAGGCTTTATATGATGGCTGAAGAATGAAGGAGAGGTGACTCTGCCCATAAATCAATTTCTCCCTCCCAGGGCTGGAGGGCTCCAGATACAGAGTATAAGTATTGGGGAAAGATAGGCGGCTAAAGGGGTGGGGGACTGTTCATTACTTCCCTGGGAATGGGCAGAGATCACCCAGTAGCATGGATGCCACCTTCTTTTCATTCTTTTTTGTTTTTTTGAGACAGGGTTTCTCTGTGTAGCTCTGGCTGTCCCAGAACTCACTCTGTAGACCAGGCTAGCCTTGAACTCTCGAACTCAGAAATCCACCTGCCTCTGCCTCCCAAGTGCTGGGATTAAAGGCGTGCGCCACCACAGCCCAGCCACCTCTTTTCATTCTTAGTAGCTGTGGTTGTATTTAGTCTTGATTGGGAACAGGGCAGAAAGAAGAGGAGAAAGAGGAGGGAGGGCTGAAGTGGGATATGAGGCAAATCTATGCCAAGCTGAAGTTTCCCAAATGATTGATGTGTCCACGCAGAACTGAGCAGAATGTAACACAAACTTAAGAAGAATATAAAGACAGGTGGCAACCCTCCTCACCCGGTCCCAGTCCCCACTAGACACCGGTAGGCTCAAGTGAAGACTTAATGTTTTCTGCAAATGACACCCCACCTCAGTCCATAAAATACAGCCCAGGACACTGTCATCATAATCCACACAGCAGAGCTAGTGAGAAATATGTGGGACTTCCCAAAGTAGCAATCTTTACAAGATTTTAAAAACCATGTGTGTGTTAACTAGGATCCCTTGCAAGGGCAGCACATACTATGTAAAAAGAAAATATTTATTTTTATGTATATAAGTATACTGTAGCTGTCTTTAGACACACCAGAAGAGGGCACCAGATCCCATTACAGATGGGATCCACCATGTGGTTGCTGGGAATTGGACTCAGGACCTCTGGAAGAGCAGTCAGTGTTCTTAACTGCTGAGCCATCTTTCCAGCCCTGGTACATCATCACTGAGCCATCTCTCCCTCCCCTCAAACTGGTAATTTTTAAAACAGTTAAGTACAGTGAAGCTAGAGAGTTTATATAGATTTTTCCCCTTCCTTAACACCAAGGGAGATGTTAGGAAGGGTTTTGTTTTGCTTTTCCCCTAAAAACTGTGCTTCTGACAAGCAGTCTGACATCTGAGTTGGTTTGGGGGGTCTAAGTGGGAGATATTCTGGGGGGTCTGTGGTGGTTTGAGTGATAAATGACCCCCATATTATGTGAATGCTTGGTCCCAGCAGCACTGTATGGGGAGATGGTCCAACCTTGTTGGAGGAAGTACATCACTATGGACAAGGTTTGGAGAGTTCATAGTCTAACCCCACATAGTGCTGCCCACTCTGCTTTCTGCCCTGGCTACCTGTTGCCAGGCCTCTCCCTCCCTCTGTCCTATCCTGTCCCTCTGGAACTGTAAGCCAAAATAAACTCCTGCATGTAGTCGTTCTTGGTTATGGTGTTTCTAATCCAGCAACAGAAGTGAATACAAGTTTTGCCTAAAATAACACACAGACCTGGTGGCTTAAACAACAGCCTATTTGATTATTCTGAGGGCTACAAGTCCAGATGTAGCCTGTGTCACATCTGGCTTCTGAGTAGGGTTCTACCCTGATATGGTTGGGTGACCTTACAGTTTCTCATAGAAAAAGAGTTCTTCAGTGTTTCTTCCTCCTCTTCCTACAGGACTCAAGCCCCGGCCTCATGACTTCCTTGGTCTGCTACTACCTCCTTGAAGCTCTTTATGTACTTACTTCGGGAGCTAGGCATTCAACTTACAGATTAGAGGGAAGGCATCTTAGTGTACAGTTCTCAAAATGGGTAAGAAAGTTAAAACGACATCCTTAGCTGGGCAGTGGTGGCACACGCTTTTAATCCCAGCACTTGGGAGGCAGAGGTAGGCGGATTTCTGAGTTTGAGGCCAGCCTGGTCTACAGAGTGAGTCCCAGGACAGCCAGGGCCACACAGAGAAACCCTGTCTCGGAAAAAAAAAAACCAAAAACAAAAAACAAAAAAACAAAACAAAACAAAATCAACCAACCAACCAAACAAACAAAAACCGACATCCTTACTAAATTGTTGAGAATTGGCTGAAACCAGGCCCATCGAGGAACTGGGGTCATGGTGGGTGCCGTGCAGAGGCCCTTCGTCTTTTCATCCAACTGTCTATAGAAGATGATACCAACAAGACAGAAGAGAAGCAGAGCTCAAGCTGGGTAGTGCACACATTTAATCCTACCACTCAGGAAGCAGTTCCAGGTCAGCCTGATCTAAAGAGTGAGGTCCAGAGTGAGGTCCAGGACAGTCAGAGCTATATAGTGAGATAGGATGGTGGAAAGTGGGGGGGAGAGCAGGGGAGGGGAAGAGGGGCAGGGAGAGACAGAGAGAGAATATTGAGAACTCACAGTACCAGAGGTAGTCTTGGAATATAGAATTTAGTTTAGCATGGTTTCTACAGGTCCAAGCTTAACTAGATGGAACTTGCTAAGTTTCAGAGAGTAACTCCCACTCCAAGAGCCATATCGAAATCATTCCTGGCATCAGCATGTACCAATTTCACGGGCTGTTGTTACTTCCAGGCTTTATGTCCGGTACTTGGTCAAGAGATATCAGGCTTCGGCATGGTCCTCAGTGATGGTGAGGGCCATGTGCAAAGACCTCATTGATCTTTTTGTTATGCAGTCCACCTTGCATGACCCTTTCAGCATCTGCCATCAGCCTCACTGCCAGTAAAGGTGACACATGCCTTTAATCCCAGGACTTGGGAGACAGAGGCAGATTTCTGGACAGCCAGGACTACAGAGAAACCATGTATCAAAAAACAAAAGGCGGGGGAGGGGAGGGGCTTGTAGGGCACTTGCTTACTTACTAATTGATATGGAAGACCCAGTCCATTATGGGTGGTACCACCCTGGGCTGGGTGTAGGTGCTTTAAGAAAGCAGGTTGTGCAAGCCAGTAAGCATTCCACTTCCTCCATATCAGCTCCTGCCTGGACTTCTTTCCATGACAGTGAAACGAAAAGCTTAAGCAAACCTAACTTCCTTTCGGGCTTGGTGTTTCACCACAGCAATAGTAACTTCAGTAAAAACATAACCTGCCAAACTACCCCACTTTTGGTCAGGTGGTATTTTTTAAAAATCAGTGGCCTCCAAACCTCCTGCAATCTGAAAACCATTTCCTAGGTTTTCCATGGGGCTAGGTTAACTGCTCCATGACTTGATGCTTTTCTTCTGGAAGATTGGAAATTAGTTTAAACAGGGCAACGTAGTACGGGGACATTAGGAAAGGCTCAGAAGAAACTGGACCTAGAGGGATGTCTCAGCAGCTAAGAGGTTTGATTCTGCTGGCTGGCTGCTCTTCCAGGTCTTTGGTTTGATTCCTAGTGCCCACAGGGTAGCTCACTATGGTCTGTAATTTCAGCCCCAGGGGATCCACCCAGGGGAACACCCTCTTCTGGCAAACTCAGAGACTATGCACATACCCAGGGTGCACAAAGAGAAACCGTGGGTTGATATCTACCAACTGCAGTTGGTTTCTCTACCAAATGTATCCTCCAACAGACCAGGCCATCCAAAACCTAAATAAATAATATTAAAAGTGAAATTTACAAAGCTTGGCAAGGACCTGGTCAATAGACTGCAGGTGCCAAACCATGAGTGATTAATACACATTGCCCTCAATTGAGATGTCAATAAACAGTTTGCTTCCACAATTTTCACAGCAACCACAGAATATCAACTTTGCTTCCCAGATGCAGTGTTGATTTTGAACAAAGCAATTACTCTACAGCATACAGTGAACTTGCTCTCTTTAGCAGTGATTTCCAGCTGCAGGTAGCCTTTGTACGTGGAGAGCTGGATCAATCCTCAAATACAGCATCTCCACATCTTATCATCCTCTCACGGTCAAGGGCTCATCTCCCTCCTACCTCTCTGCTCACTGGATTCTAACGGAAAGGTTCTGCTTTACACTACAGTGCAATCACTCTTATACACCCGGAGTCAAGACAATGACATCAATCTCAACTGTGTCTTCTCAAACAGGCTTTGACTACTAAAACTAGGATGGACTGGAGATAGCTGAGTGTTAAGAGCACTTTCAGCTCTTGCCAAGGCACAGTTCACAACACTCCCACTGCTGTTCCAACCATCTCGTTCCAATTCCAGAGGATCCAATAGTTTCTGGACCTCCTGGGTTCCAGACAGGCACATGGTATGCATATGTATATGTAGCTGAAACATGCACATACACAGAATAAGAATAAAATCTTTAAAGAAAAAAAAAAAGGATTGGGTTTAGAATAAATTTTCTCAAATTGTGTCACCAAGGTATCATAGAAATCCTGACATCTCAGGGCCACCATGTTAGATATACACCCATGGCACAGAAAACTGGTCTCATTTTAAGAATAATAAAAGGCACACATATCTGTGTGTGTGTCTCTGAAGGTATATTACCTACACAAGCAAACTAGATAGATACTTAAGGGCACTTTATAGTCAGCTCATTAAACATAGTTCCTTTACTGAACAGTGCCAGGTATTGGAAATCCATGAGTAAACAAAACTTTTCCAGTGTCCCTGCTCTCATGGAGTTTATTGTCCTATCAGTTAACAGCCAAGAGAATCAGAGCTGGACATGCAGCTGCCCCGCTATGGATGAGACAACCAGACACATGTAGTAAAGAAGAGAATTTATTTGGAAAGTAGGGTATAAAAAGCATGATTCTAACACTTATTTAGAATATTAACAAATTAAAAAAGTTAGAAACTACAGAAAAGGTAGACACCCAAACCCAGCTTACAGCTACACAGTACAAACAAGTAGAACCCAAAACTCTTTCATGCAAATAAGCATTAAGGGAATGTTTACAGAGCAGGGCACAACAAATATTTTTTAAATTTACATTAAGAAACTGTACATAAATGGAAAAATAAATTAGATAATTTACAAGAAGTGTTTTATAGGTTATAATAGGCTATAACTTAGTCTTGTTATGCATAAAGTTTGTAGTACATCATACATTTTTACATAAGATTTAATATTAGAAGAATCTAAACATAAACAAAGCTTGGACCTGACAGGAATAATGCAACCAACAGAGAGTAAGGCAGCTGGCACTGAAGTGACTTGTGTAAGGAAAGGATGCCCTAAACTGGGACAGAATCCACCTAGGAATGATCTCATCAGGACCGGGCAGAAGTAACAAGAACGCCTTCACTTCAGTTTAAATGCCAGGAGTTCACTCAACTCAAACACAGTGAGTAGGTAAAAATGACAAAGTATTGGAACCTCACTCACTGCAGGGATCAGGAATTACAGGTAGGAATGGGACACTACAGCATGAGCCTTAGATTTTATAAAATTATTTTTCCTTCTAAATGCTGTAAACTCTAAGGGTTCATTCAGAAAAAATTGGCCAATTTCCAAATGGCTTAGAAGCAGGGTTAATTAAGTACTGAGCGAGACACTGTGACATCCTGATGACACCCAATCACAATGACACTGTTTAGAAGCATAGAACCAAAACCAATTGCAATCGCAAACTATTTTACATCACTTATGGTACTTTAAGGTTATGTAAAAATGAAAATGCTTTCTGTGAAGTTACATTCTTTACCAAGTCTTTTAAACATAAAATTACAGCAGCTGCAGTAAAAAGAATCTAAAGCCAAAACCTTCGTTTAGAAGACAAGCTAGTTTGTGAATTAAGATCAGATCCCCAAGCAGCAGGATTCTAGCATCAGCCCACACTGACTTTTAGAAAGACATTGGGTCTGACACAGGTCGACTCCGTTCAGCTCAGAAAAGAGATCTTAAGGTCTTCTACCTGCTTTATTAGGTAGGACTGTGATCCATTCCAACCTACATGCAGGTTTTCACTTTGCAATTTTCATTTTGTAAATGTTGATGGAACTCTGTTCACCCACACCTGTGACCACACACAATGATTAGAAATAAAAACAGGTCGAAGAAAGGGGCTACTAAAATTCCAAATATAGCTAATACTTCAACATCTCTAAATTTTGAGGAGTATTTTTCACCTTGTACAAATGAAGAGTAGTAACAATCCCTATATAATTTTGAGATTAATAGTTAAAATTCAAGACGTTATAGATGAATGTACACACATACTTTCCAATAGCTATCACAGGCAATGAGATATATATATAACTTTTTTTTTTCTGGTTTAGTAAGTACTTATCAACATGTATTAATGAAAGGCAGACGAATTATTGAAATACTATAAAGCACTAAAAATTAGCTCTAGAACATGATAGCATCTGAAATGTGTAAGTCATCTTAAGCACTGCCAGGAATGGAGCAACTGTTATCTCGGGCTCCTGGCAACGGTGTCATCTCCCATGGTAGCCACCGAATTCCTGGTTAACAAATAAAGAGAACACTTGGAAGAAGCTAGGCCAATGACCAGAACACTGTAAAACATTAGATCAAAGCAGAATTCCACAGGTACTGAATACATAAGACAGCACAGTGTGTCCAATGGGGAGTGTTTTAACTCTGCAAGTAGGATAAAAGACTGCAAAAACTTGGAACACTCTTTTTATGTTGTATTGAACTGGCTATCTTAATACTTCAAAGGAAAAAAATATTACATCATTATATTACTGACACTGCAAGATAATTCCTGTTACAGATTGTAAAACAAAACTGCTATGACACAGGCTGGATGTGGTGGCACATGCTTTTATTGCCAGCACTTGGGAAGCAGAGACAAAAGAATCTCCGAGTTTGAGGACACCTGCTCTACATAACAAAGTTCCAGGACCACATAGAGAGACCTTGTCTCAAAAAGCAAGAACCAAACAAGAGATTATCCCATCTGGTGACACAGATGAAACTAGCTGGCCTGCACTGCTGTCAGGATGACGTGCACTCAGTAACACAGGAGCTTAGGTGGGGAAAAACAACATAGACGTTTAGAGGCAATCACCTTAAATGTCAGAGTATTTAAAGAAAAAAAGTATTTCTATTATTTTGTTTACACACACTACAAAACTGAAGTTGAATGCAAAGTAATGTACACTCATTTTCATTATGCTTTATCAATTCTTTGCATAACCTAGAATTTCTGAATTATATTCAAAAAATGCAAAACACTAACAAAGATAAAGTGCTCAACAAAACAAGATATGATAAACTAAGTAAGAAAGAACTTTGTTTCTAACAAAGTAGTTTTATAAAGGATATTTAGAAACTATAGCCACATGAACTTTTCTCCCTCAAGAATGTAACCCACAAAACAGGAATGGGTACCTGACACAGCAATCACGTGAATTCAAGGGCACTGTCCATTTAGAGTCCAGTATTTGCAAATAATGAGAATCCCTTGAGGGGGCTGGCTTTCAACTATCATGCATATTACTGGCCTAGCCTTGGCAATGACTTTAACCCAAGGAGAAATCCACGACTCCCCCACCTACTCAGTGTAGCTGAGGAAGGAAACGCCATGCTATGGCCTGTGTGTGTATATACAGATGCCTGGAGAGGTCTGGTTAAAAGGCAACCTTTAGGGGGAGAGGTGGTATTTTAGATTTGTGTGTGCGTTTTACCACCAAAACCATGGCTGACAATGCTCTTAGCATTTGAAAGTTATAAGAATTTTTATAAAGACTCTTTGTATGTATAAAAAATAATAATGAGATAAAAAGTGTCTCTTGGTAATCTTTCAAAATTGACTGCACAAAAACTCAGAAACTTTAGAAACTAAGTCCCTGGAATTAAATTTGCTTCCATAAAGGAAATACATTAGTTTGGAAATTGCTAACTACTAGGATGTGTCACGGGCGGTTTATCAGTTATTAGAAAAATTCCATACACTACACAAGAGATGACATGATGACAATATACAGTATATCTGGAATAGTCAGTTAACAGCTTATCTGTGTAAAATAAACTGGCCCAAATAAATGGTCTTGTCTTTATTTTTAAAAAGAAATTACCATTTTCCCTATCTATTCTTTTAAAAGCCCAGATTAGTTTAAGGACACACAACAGTGCTCTCCTAGCACGCCTGTAACCTCGGCATGCAGAGGCAGGTAGATTTCTTTTGAGTTCAGGGCTTGCCTGGTCTACATAGCCAGTTCCCGGCCATCCAGTGCTATGTAGTTGAGGCTGTCTCAAACAAAAACAAAACAAAGTAGCTTTAGAAAAACACTAACAGGGTGGGCACTATTTATATATGTGGCTGGATATCTGAAAGGTGGTCAGTCCAAAACTGAAATGTATCATTAAGTATAAAATATATATCAACTGAAGACTAAATAATAAAAACAAAATAAACAAGAAGACAAAACACATCCCCCAATTAATTTTTTGTGCCAATTTCACACTGAAATAACACATTAGATATACTGGTAGATTAAATAAAAAAGGTACTAAAATGACCTTACTCTATTTCTTGTTAGCTTTTAATGTGGTTTTTACTAGAAAATATAAAATGATACAGTCTACATTTTATCTATTAAATGGCACTGTTTAAGAACACAGACTTTTAATTAGGTTGATTGATACCAGAAGCAAACCTCTATGACAGCATGCATACAGGGAATTTCTCAAGAGCAATATAGGCTAGATTAGAATCGTTGCAGCTTTTATCAATTATGATTCTGTGTTCTTATTAATTCAGTAATTACAGATTACACTTGAAAAAATGTATGAATGAGTTGGTTCACTTTATATGGACCTTGGTAGTTAATTTCAGTTCCAAATGGCAAAATGTTAGTTCTATATAAACCAAAGTGGTCAAATTAACACGAGCCCTATTCAATCTTTAAAGATAGCCCTAAACCCATAGTTGCTGATGTATAGAATTTCCACAGTAGATAAATCTATCATTCAATCATTTTCTTATCTGCACACTCAAGCCAAAAACCTTTAAAACAAAGGAAGCAGTAGCAGTCCAACTGGAACAAGCGGCCACTGAGATGTGAACACTGAGTGACATCATTGTAGACTTAAAATGTTTACCAGGCAAACACTATTGTCGTTATATGCTTCCCTCCCCAGATACTATTTGTATGTTTGTATTTTTAAGTAAAGAAAAATTGAATTTTAAACATTTGCACATAAACTACACAGAGACCTGTCTTTTTTTTACCCTGGAAACAAAGTTTCCCTATGTAGCCCTGGCTGTCCTGGAACTCACTCTGTAGACCAGACTGGCCTTGAACTGCCTGCCAAGAGCAGAAGCACCTGGCTCCAGAGACCTGTCTTTATCAAGCACCTCTTGAGAGTCTGCTGGAAACTCTAGACACTGGGGTATCAGAAACTACACTGAAATATTCTTTGAAATGTAAACAATCTCTAACCTCTTTAAGGTTATTTCCAGAAACATTGGAAATTAATACGGGTCCCTTACAGACTCAACTTTATGGAACTAATGGCATCCAAAAATGTTACTGCCCATGTAAAATCTGAAAGATTTTAACATTATAAAAAACAGGAATTCAAACCCAAGAATAAATTCCAAGCAGAAAGACAAATTTCGGATCTGCAATGCTTTTATGACCAAAAACCAAACATTGATCCATTTGTAGTTCAGCAACACTGCCCCAGAGTCACGTAATTTCAAAACATTCTTTTAGACAGCATCTGATTCTGTCCATTGCTACAGTTTATGGCAGGATAAAAATCAGCTTCCATAGTTCAGGTCTAATGAGAAGAAATGCACATTTGGGCCTGAGATATACATGGTAGAGAAAGAGCACAGAATGCCACCCACTCTAACCATATTCCATTTGAACAGTCTAAGGACTTAATTACGTAGATAGACTCTGAAGTGTGTGATTATGCCCTCAATTTCAAAAACAGTAAACATTTTCACACATATACTGATTAATGCATAAAGTGTAGCGCCACCAAATATGTGCAAAAACTTCAGGGATTCAATAGAAAAATTCAGGTTCATATTTAAGCACAATATTTCAACTCATCATCTGAGAGAAAATTGTACTTATGGGCAGAGGTCATATAGGCATGCTTTTCTGAGGATATGTTATAAAACTACCATAGTTAATACTTAATATTGCCTTAACATTTCTAAGTCACAGAAAATGATCTTTGATTGCCAGTACAATAAATTATGAGAATATGTTACTTCCTGCTCACTAGTAACCAAACATACATAAAACAGATTCAAACAAATATTCAGAATCAATTATTTTGCATAAATATTTCTGAGATTTTAAGATTTGTGTCTGAGCACACAGTACTACAATGTTGGCTGCATCAAATAAATAGAAAATCATTGAGAAAGTTCAACAATCAAGAGGCTGTATTGCATTTAAGATGGAACGCTGGCTATCTATACATACAAGGGGACATCAATGAGGGATACTTCCCATTATAGGTCTTTCCATGCGGCAAAGCTCACGAGCTTACCGTTCTGACATTTAAAATGAACACAAATAGCATTTATCCTTTGGTTCCCAGTGACAAATAATGAATGCAGTTTCTGGATCAGTTCTTCCTGGATGACATTCCTTAGTAGAGATCTCCAATGTTTTAGCTGAAATTTGGCAGTCCAAGAAGTGCACCAACAGCTCCAAAGTATCCCTGCATGATTTTTAAACAATTTAAGTCAATGTGGTTTTTAAATTAACCTCTAAGAACACATTTATATAGCCTTCTTCACATTAATACATGAAAGGGTCCATCCCATAAAAACAACAGCTAAAATCCCAGCACTCAGGAGGCAGAGGCAGGTGGATCTCTGTAAGTCAAAGCCAACACCAGGACAGCCAGTGCTAAATAGTGAAACTCTTGTCTTGAAAACCAACCATCCATCCATCCATCCATCCATCCATCCATCCATCCATCCATCCAAATCTGAGAGACAGCAAATAAACCACCTAATGATGCACACCACGGCTTCTGAAAAACAATCAATTCTAAACACAGCAGACAGCAAGAAATCATGAAGTTCAGGGAAGAAATGAATGAAAGCAGGATTAAAAGAACAATATAAAAAGTCAATCAAAGATCTGATTCTTTAGAAAGTTAGTAAGAGTGATGAACCTTAGCCAATCTGATAAAGACATAAATTAATAAAATCAGAAGTCAAAGGATGTCATTACTACAGACTTGACTAAATGCAAAGTATCCATATACATAAATCTTTTAAAAAAGTAAGCTGCAAACTGCATACATTATAGCAAGACTGTACCCCTCCTTCCCTTTAGTCATTAAACAAAAAACTCCTCATAGCTCTGGCACTCTTATTGTCTGCCTTTGTAGAAGAGTGAGAGACCATTCCATTCTGATTTGTTAGAGAACTGAGACAGTCAGATATAGAAGCTTATTGTAGCAATACTTTGAATGTTTCTAATTCAGAATAATGTAAGCATTTGAATTCATTATATAAGATTAATTGCAGATTAGAATTTAACTGGATATTGTGAATAGCAAAAAAAAACATAAGAGGTAGGTTGTTTGGTGTTTTGTTTTGGATATAGGGTCTTGCCATGAAATCCTGGCTAGCCTGGAATTTATGTAGAACAGAGTGGCCATGAAGCTAGCAAACATCTTTCCTCTGCTTCCTGAGTTTTAGGATTATAGGAGTGTAGCTATTAAGCTCAACAAGAAAAACCAATCTTACGATTTCGAGAGTTACAATAGGGTTACTTCTCAGGGTGGAGGGAATTAAAAAGAATCCTCTGTGCTTGGACAGCCAAGGGTATAATAGTTAAAGTTGTCATAGGCATCTGAGAAACAAGAAATTTCCTTGGTCAGGACAGCAATGAAATTCTCAGCTGTGAGCTGCCTATGCAGTAGCTAACTGCCTGTCAAACTGAGACAAAATGAATCAATTTACTTAAGTCAAGAATTTGTGGCACACACCTGTAATTTCATCATTTATGAGGGCCTCAAATGAACAGTCTAAGCTCAGGTGTGTAGTGTGACCTTTCAAAACACTTATGACCCAGGCCTAGGAAAATAGCTCAATCCTTAAACGTAAGGAACTAGGTTTGATTCCTAAAACAAATGTGTTAGTTAAAAAAGCCAAGTGTGGTGGTACATCTTTGTATGCCCAGATCTGGGTGGGGCAGAGCTCTGGGGTTGGTAGTCCAACCAGTACAGCCTCACTGGTACATTCCATGCCAGTTGACAGACCCTATCTCAAAGACTGTGGGGAGTGTTCTTGATGCCACCTGTAGTTATCTTCTGGTTTCCACTCATGTACACATACACATAAAAATAATTTAAATTTTTACATATACAAATATAAAATATGTAGAAATGTACATTTCATACGAAACACAGTTAAGTACCCACAAAAGTGTTTACATACCTCATGTTCTAGAAACAATGCTTTCAATTGACCCTTTGACCAGTAATCCAAAGCATATGCCAGAAGTTTCATAGACAGAGTATTGACACGTAAAAAGTTTCCAACGAAGACAACTCGATTTATTTTCTGAAAGAAAAGAAAGTGGCTTTTAAGGGCAAATGTGGGTATCATTCATCAGTACCTACTAATTTCTGCATGGAGTTCTATAATTCTGATTACTCAGAAATTAGATAATTTACCAAGACTCCTATACAACATCAAAAGTGAACTCTGATGTCTAATATGGATACTGGACTTTAGTGTTGAAGTCACGTCACTGCACATTCTTGGACTACAACCAAATATACCGAGAGCCAGAGAGTGAGTCAGAGAAGCTGTGCACATGTGTGGAAAGTGTGGCAACTGCCTACTCTTTCCTTTTTAGTTTTACTGCAAACCTTACATTGATCTACTTATGTTATAAACATGCACCATTACATGCAACCTGGTCCCTACATAGAGTTGGACAGTAGAAATGACTGGGGAGGGGAACATGAAAGGTAAATAACATGAAAGTTAAGAAAGAGGAGGAGGAAGATGTGAGGCCAGAGGACCAGAAGGCATAAGCCAACTAAACAATTTGGGAGCAGGAGAGATGACCTAGTGGCTAGGAACAGGAGCCGACTGCCCAGAGGACCAGAGTTGTTTTCCTAGCACCACCTTGGCTGTCACAGTCATCTGGTAACTCTGATACCAGCAAATCCAATGCCCTTTTTTGTCTTCACAGACACTGCATATATACATGGTGTACAGATACACACACAAGAAAAATAACCATACACATAAAATAAAAATAATTGTTTAGGCTAGAGAGCTGACTCAGAGTTTATGAGTACTCACTACTCATAAACTGATACTACTACTGATAAACTCACTACTGATAGCAAGTCCCAGGGATCCTCCTGCCTCCCCATCCATACCTACTGGGGTTTATAGGTTCGAAGCCACATCTGGCTTCTGACACGGGGGGCTAGGGATTCAAATTCAAGTCCTCATGCCTGCACAGCAGCCACTGAGCCATTTCCCCAGCCCTCCATATTTTTCTTAAGGCAAGCAGCACATATCACTCAAACAGTATGAAGAACAAGTCTCAATGCCTTCATAGCCCTGTACAATGCTGCTTGATCCATATGCAACAAGGCAGCACTGTAAAGAAGCCGAGGGCAGTAAGAAAACTTCCAAGCATCTCACTAATTGAATACTCCAATAATTATAAACAAGAGACCATTGTGCCCTTTGCAACAGTTATCTCAAAATGTTTTTAGCCCCATTTAGACTTAGACTGTACATTCATTTCTGAAGACATTTTGAGAATAAGTACTTATTTGTCTTAAGTCTGGCCCCAGGCTGATTTTTTTTTTTTTTGGAGGGCTGAAGACTGAACACCAACAGCATTGCTTTTTTCTATTTCTTTTCTTATTTATTTATTTATTTATTTATTTATTTATTTATTTATTTATTTAAAGCAAAGGCTATATACCCCTGGGTGGTCTGGAACTCTTTGTAGGCCAGGCTGCCCTCAAACTCAGAGATTTGTCTGCCTCTGCCTCCTGAGTGCTGTATTTGTCACGGAAAAATTATAACAAAATAACTGGGTAAACAGTATTTATTCTAGCTGCTTGGGAATGGAAGGAAATGGATCTCAATATGAGAGACTCACTGGAAAATAAACTTCTGTCAGTTGCACAGGAATCAACTTTTTTTTAATTATTATTTTTATTATCTTAAAATTTTAAAAAACAAAGGACAGGGTCTGTCTATGTAACCCTAAATGGCCTGGAACTTGGTATGTATGTAGCTCAGCTTAGCCTTAAAACTCACAGAACTCTCCCCCTAGTGTTAGGATTAAAGGCATTAATTAAATAAAGTGCTGGGCCCAGCTTTTGTGTACAATTAAAAAGGTTCTTCGATGTCTTACCTCATTTACAGCACACATCCGTGCCACGGAGCCGATGTTATTGGTGATAGTAACTAAAGTGGCTCTTGCCAGGTCCTCCTTACTAACAGTTTCTCGTTTCTCCTTATAAATCATATTACCAAAACTGGAAACAGAGAGAGAGAGACAGAGAAACAAGTCAAATCTACTGGTAATAAAAACAATTCACATTAGCATACGTATCTATAATAGCTCTATAAAGTTGGGCCAAAGAGCATGAGAACACGGGGAGGTATCAGCTTAAAACAAAAATCTATATAAAAAATAAGCAGCATTTTTAAGAGTTAAAAATTAAACTTGCCTTTAATTAAATTAAAAAAGCACTTCTTTATTACTAGTGGCAAAGATTTATTTCATCTACATTTTAAGACCTTATAACACACAAAAAAAATAAAAACTATTTAAGAAAGCCAAAAAGCGCAGTGATTTGTTTTTAAAGTCAAAAAACTGGTAAAGATGATGTCATTTCTAATGTCACACAAGCATCTACAACATACCAAGCATTATGCTACAGACACAAAGGTCCTTCAAGCAGTATACTGTCTATCTAGGACAGCACTGTCCAATAGAAATATGCACCACATAATATATTCTCTATTAGTCATATTTCAAAAAGGTAAAAATAAAGGCAAAATAAAGTAGAACTGTACATCTAAGTGTAGCTATCTGGCCATGTGGCACACATGAACTACATTCTAAGTGCTTGTACAGATCTTGTTAGAGGCTATCCTATGGATAAAGCAGGCCACAGAGAGCAACAGAGACTAACTGTAACAAGACAAAACAAAATCAGTGAGCCAGAAAGAAAAGATTCTATTTTGGAGGTAAGCAAAAGTTGAGGAGGAAGGTTTTCCACAGTAAAAAGAAGTTTAAAACTAGTTTTAAAAAGAGAGAGAAAGGCTCTTACTCTCTTGCTCTCTTGCCTCTAGCTTCTCCTCGCCCTTCCTCCCTTCCCTTCCCCCTCTCTCCACGTGGCCGGCCTCCTCTTCTCTCCTCTCTCTCTACCATCTTCTCCCGTTTCTCTCCCTACCTTTGCCCTCTGCCCTGAATAAACTCCCTCCCCTTTGGGAAAAAAAAAAAAAGAGAGAAAAAGGAACATTCTAGACAGAAGCAACCGAGGTTAACGTCACACAAAAATAATGAAACACATATAAAGTGTCATCAAATGTAAAGAAAAAAGGGTCTCAGAATAAAGTGCTGAGGCGGCCAGGTCCTCACTACTAAAGGGCACTGGGTCTCCTGACAAGCAACAGCCAATTACACATAACAGAGATCATATACAAACAAAAATATTTAGGAACACAGGGAGGGATTTATGAAGTTCCACTCCTCCCCGAAGATCCAAAAGTTGACGAGGAAGGAGAATGACACACACATTTTCTTCAGTGGCAAAGCCAATGTACCTATGAGCAACACCAACTAAACTTATTAGGTCCTGAAACAAAACAAAACACCTAAACCAGAAAGAGGAAGGGACAGCTAGTCAGAAGACCAGCACGAGTAAGAGAGGCACAGGAGAAGACAATGGAGATGAACGAGAGAAAGAAATTACACTTACAAATAAAATGCCACAATGAAACCTATTAATATATATAAAATATGCCAACAAAAACTTAAGTTTAGGAACAAATTTAAATTAACAAGTTTACAGACAACTTTTTAAATGTCTGAAAGGCACAAAAGTGCCTTAAACAGGTTAACTTCTATTACAGAAATAACATTAAAAAATTGCTTTTTTCAAATATTTATTCATTCTCTCCCTCTCTGTGTGCACACACACTCAGAGCTCAGAAGACAACTTGCGGGAGTCAGTTTTCTCCCTTCATCATGTAGGTTCTGGGGATCCACCTGAGGTAGACAGGCATGGCAGTAAGCACCTTTACCCACAGAGCCATCTGACTGGCCCAAGAATGTCATTCCCCTAAGTTAACAAAGGAGCTTAATGAAGTCACAAGAAATAAACAGAACACACATTATGCTTCTATAACTTTTAATAGGTCAGCAATGATATGTCCAAAGTAAACAAAACAAAACTAATGTATGATGAAGCTATCGCAAATCAGTGGAAAAAAATAATGTTAGGTCCTTGTGAAAAAACTGAAGCCAGGCAGTGGTGGCGCAGTTTTAATCCCAGCACTTGGGAGGCAGAGGCAGGCGGACTTCTGAGTTCAAGGCCAACCTGGTCTACAGAGTGAGTTCCAGGACAGCCAGAGCTATATACAGAGAAACCCTGTCTCGAAAAACCAAAAAGAAAAAAAAAGAAAAAAAGAAAAAAAGGATCCATCTCATCACACAAAACTGTAAGAAAAATTATAAGTGTTTATATAAAAGACAAAGTATAAAAGTAATAAAGTGAGGTTGGAGAGATGGCTCAGCAGATAAGAGCACTGACTACTCTTCCAGAGGTCCTGAGTTCATTTTTCAGCAACCACATAGTGGCTCACAACCATCTGTAATGAGATCCGATGCCTTCTTCAGGTGTGTCTGAAGAAGTGACAGTGTACTCATATAAATAAAATAAATTAATAAATCTAAAAAAATAAAAATAAAAAACTTAAAAAGAAAAAGTAATAAAGTGTCAGAAATAAGTACAGGCTAATCCTTTATATATTTGGAATGTGGAAGACTTACTTACTACTATGAATCAATATCCAGAAGCCATAAAGAAAAGACTGATAAATTCAACTGTTTAACAAGCCAACAACAAAAACCCTATCAACAATCACTACAAGCACCATGTAAGGTTCTTAGCCTATTGTTGGTAAAGAAATGCAAATTAAAATTATACTAAGATGCTGGTTCTTTAGCAGATCAGCAAAACCTCAGAAAGTTTCACAGTATACTCATGCACTGTATGGAAATCTTTTTACCTGGTGGGCTTGGTGAAACTCACCACTTGCTTAACAATACTGTAAGAAGCATTTGTACTTTCTCTTTGGGAAGGTAAGCTTCAGACAGGATTACAACAAGACAAAGACAGACTAAAGCTACAACATGGAAAGACGTAACTTTTTGGATATGCAGATTATAGAATATGATTTTTATTTGTACATAGCAATAGGAGATAGATGCTTTGGAATTAATACAAGAAATCTGTTTTCCTGTTTTTGTCTCTTTAACACAAGGTCACACTGTTTGGGCCTGACAGGCCGGAAACTCTTTTGTAGATCTGGTTAGCCTCAAAAACCAGAGCTCATTGAGCATGGCGGCATATGCCTTTAATCCCAGCACTCAGGAGGCAGAGGCAGCAGATCTCTGTGAGTTTGAGGCCAGCTTGGTATGAGAAGCAAGTCCCAGGACAGCCAGGTCAGTTACAGAGAAAACCTTGTTGTTTTCTAAACAAAACAACAACAAAAGATCATAGAGCTCCACCTGTCTCTGCTTCTTGACTGAGATTATAGTTGTGTGATACTATGCCCAGTTGACAAGTTTCTTTTTGTTCTGCAGTGCAAGGAATCAAACTCTGGCCTTGCCCCTCCACTCAGAAACATCACCAGCACAAGGCAGTTCTTCACAGGGTACACACAGGAAAAATATCTTCATGAATTTTTATGTTTGCTGACTGTGCCTCAAGTTGATCTCAAACTCAAGAGACCAGCCTGCCTCTATCTCCCAAGTGCTCCCAGCTTGAATATTTTATTTTTAAACTTCAATGTTCAAACCTTGAACTCTAAACAGAGAAAAGGAAATCATCCTTAAACCCCACAGCATATTATTTTCAAAAAACTAAATAGACAACTTGAATAATGATATAGCTTACCTAGATGCCACAGCCCAACCCGGTAGACCAAATCTTTCATAATCTCCTCCATAAATATCTCGGACCAGCCTATCAGCTTGGGTACTGTCACCTTTGGATGCCATTTCCAGAGCCTCTTCAAAACTTTCACAGCCAGTCAATAAACTGCATAAACCAAGAAAGGTGCCCCCTCCAAGGCTAAAAAGGAAAATAAGGTATACTTGTTAAGTTACATTTACATGTTATTTTCTTTCCCCCAGTAAAAACACATATTCATTTATTGAATAAACAGAGGAAAAACATGGTACGTGCTAAATACCAAAATGATAAAAAATAAGAAGACTATTTAGTAAAACCAAATCATATAAAATCTAAATCTGCTGGGGAGAAAAACCTCACCTGGCATCTAATAACTCATACTGCGTAACTGCTAAAAATAATCTCCTGTGTATGCACTGAAAAATACTAATAGTAGACTGATGAGACCATGTGCTACAATGTCAGCACTGGAGAAGCTGAGACAAGACCTTGAGTTCTGGGTCAGCCTATGCAACACAGACTGTTTGTTTGCTAAAAATACCATACTAAAAAGGGAATCTGTGGTTTAAAATCATAATAAATGACTCTGTGAAGTTTATTTAGTTGTTCAATTAGGCTAAAATCAATTCCATTATGATATAGGAGTATCTAATATGAACAGACAAATGCCCAGAGAAGTGTTTATAACCAGCTGGCCATCATGTTAAACAGACTCAGTACTATTCACATACCCTCTTGGATATGTTCATAAAATGTAATTGTGTAGCTCTCTAGTCTATAAAATTTTTGCTTGCTAATCTCACTTATGTTTCTATTTTTCAGTTAATCAAAACAAGAAATGTTTGTGTATTATTATTTGGTACAAAAAAGTGCGCTTTTAGAGTATTAGTTACTATTAGAGTATTAATAGTTTAAACATTTCAACAAGAATATCGCTTTAAAATTAAATCCCCTATAAACCCATATAAATTACCAATTTTGGTAATTTCCTTACCAATCCTTAAAAATTGATGAAATATGGAAAATTAAGAATTGTAAAACTTTTAACATTCCTATTTCAGGTTATTACAAAGAAAGCTCTGGTCTATTTAAGAATTTTTATTCTATAAGTTCACATTAAATTCATCCTAAGAATTAACCTCAAGGCTAGAGAGATGGCTCAGAGGTTAGGAGCACTGACTGCTCCTGCAGAAGCCCTGAATACAGTTCCCAGCATCCAGCAGGCAGGAAGTTACATCCAGATGTGCTACAGTTCCAGGGCACTGGACACCCTGGGCCTCTGTGGAAACTCAAATGTGTGTGGAGTACATAAATTCACATACATACATACATACATACATACGTACAAATAAAAAATGCACGTAAAAGAATTAACTATTATACTTTAAATGAAAATCTAGCCGGGGAGTGGTGGCGCACGCCTTTAATCCCAGCACTTAGGAGGCAGAGGCAGGCAGATTTCTGAATTCGAGGCCAGCCTGGTCTACAGAGTGAGTTCCAGGACAACCAGGGCTACACAGAGAAACCCTGTCTCGAAAAACAAAACAAAAAAATCTTAAATTCAAAAAAAGAAAAGCTATATAGTACACAGCAAACATAAAAATCTTACAAAGAAAGATCTGCACCATTTTAACTTACACATTTATATTCTTTTTAAAGATATTACTGTTTTGTGTTTGAGTGTTTTCCTTGCATGCATGCTCCAACACAATGTGTATGTGGCTAGTGCCAGAAGAGGCCAGAACCCCTGGAACCAGAGTTAAGGATGGCTGTGAGCTGCCACGTGGGTACTGAAACCAAACCTGGGTTTTCTCCAAGATTACCTGAGCCATCTCTACAGTCCCCTATTTATTTTGCTGTTGCACAAGTGTGAGGTGTTTGTGTTTTTTCCTGGTACAACTGTATAGTAATATACAGCAAAAAACAGCTGGAGGCCTAATTCAGTAGAGTATACTTGCCAAGCAACAGTATAAGAGCCTCTGTTTGATCTCCAGCACCAAAACAAACAAAAAACCCCAAAGCCCACCTCACAACTTTCATGCATAAAACATGATGAATGATATAATCAAACCAAAAAAATTACTACCTTGTCCCAGTCACTCTTTTATAGTTGTCTTTGGAATGGACTGCTAAAATACTGACTCCTGAGCCAATATTCACTACCAGCAGTGGGTAAGGATCATCCAGGTTAAAAGGCATTTTTTGGCATCGCTCAGGTTCCGAGGCATTAGCAAAATAATAGCATTCTGCTTGTCCATTGAAACTGACAGAATCTATATACAGCAAGCCCTTTACAAGGCAGTCAAGTTCATCTAGTTTGTGCAGGTGGAGGTTTCCAATCTGAAAGAAAAAAGCAAAAATCAGAACTTAAAAAAAAATAACAAATATATTTGGTTTAACTATATAGTTTTCAGAGATTTTATAAAACTTCGGTATTATTTTTATTTAGGGTGCTGCAGGTTTCATTTTGTTTAGGGTCAAAATCTATAGGATTTCATGTACTCCACTGTTTCCCTCCACCTCTGGGGTAGTTTAGATTCCCATGGATGAAGAGGAGGCAGGTATCAAAGTAACATTTTTGGGGCAGAGATGGCTCAGCAATCAAGAGCACTGACTACTCTTCTAGAAGACCAGAGTTCAATTCCAGCACCCACATGGTAACTCTAGTTCCAGGGAATCTGATACCTTCTTCTGGCAACTGTGGTCACAGACTTACATGCAAGCAAAACACCCATGCACATAAAATAAAACTACCACCAAATTAAAATTTAAAAAAGTGTGTAGTGAACAGGTCCTGGGATAGTTGACATCTACTGTGCACAGGACAATTGTGCAAATTTTAGAAATCATCTCATCTCTGCGTTATCTTTTACTATTCTGACACACATTAATTCTAACTACTAATGTACACAAATATGAGTATCACTCACATAGTTTCAATGTATATATTAATCTGCTAGGATGGCATTCCAAAATACTGAATCACATGTGATAACTGCCAAGTAAGGAAACACAGTATCTTCCATAGTTCTCTTGTCACATGCATTACAACCTCAAGGACAAGAGGTGCATACTAATGTAACTTATTTCAGAAAATAAGATAGCCAACATGAAAACAAAACCCAAAAACAAACCAAAAATGCCAGGGTGTGTGTGTATGCACATGAGGTGGCACATGCCTTTAATCTCATCACTCAGGAGGCAGAGGCAGGCAGACCTGAGTTCTTGGCCAGCCCTACAGAGCTACTTTCAGAACAGCCAAGGCTACACAAAGAATCCCTGTTTTGAAAAAATATCAAAATCAAAATTAAGACAGTAAGAGTGCAGACTCCCAGGGCTCTCCCAGACCAGCTCTGTAGCACAGCTCTACCGGATGCACCACATTCCATCACACACTGAAACCCAAGCAATGGAGACAGCCCGTTGTTCCAAGTCAGAATCTAGTCATGCATGCTCAACTCGGAAAAAAGAACATTCTAGATCATTGGTTCTCAACCTGTAAGGTCACAATACCCTTTCAGGGTCAAACAACCCTTTCATAGAGGTCGCTTAAGACCACTGGAAAAATACAGATATTTACATTACAATTCATAGCAGTAGCACAATTACAGTTATGAAGTAGCAAAAGTAATTTTTTGGTTGGAGTCACCACAATACAAGAAACTGTATTAAAGGGTTACAGCACTGGGAAGGTTAAGAACCACTGTCTTAGATAGAAGCCCAGCCTTGTATTTAAAATTGAATATTCATATTAATTTTTGATTCTCAATAGACACCTACTGTGCGAAAATCTTTCTCAAACTTGTAAGCACCACCTCCTGTAGCACTTAGCACCGTTTGTAAGGTTGAGAAATTTTTATCTCTCCCCATTTGGATAAAAGTAGGCAGGTCCTGGGTTGGAAATCTGATAAAGTGCAAGTTTCCTCTTCGTCCAAAAAGTGTTAAATCTTTCAGTTCAAGATGTACATCCCGAATGCCAGTAGATCCATATGCTACATTAGAAGTCAAGTATTTCCGAATACTTTTTAAGCTCTCAACTTCTTCTTGTTCTTCCTCTGCTGTGATATCAATAGGTTCAAAATACGAGAGTTTTACTAGCGTTCCTCCAATGTCCATGCCAAACCATGGGAAAGCTGTGCATTAAAAGAAAAAAGGAAGAAAAAAAAATATATATATAGTAGGAAAACAAACTAGAACGAGTGGTTAATTAGCCACAAACTTCACTTACTCTGAATCATGAACTTACTTAACACAATAAGACTTACCTTCTGCATGCAACTCACCTTTTCCTTCAGTTTTATTTGTATACTTTCTAAAAACGTAAATGATATTGAGACACTGTGGTTTAATTCTTTATCCAATAGGTACCCCTATTCATCCATTAAATTCTTATCATGTGACTCAGTTGGCAGCTATCCTGGAACTCATTCTGTAGACCAGGCTAGCCTCAACTAAGAGATCTACCACCACTGCCCCACTGACAAGAATTAAACTAATTGATTACCACCAGGATTTTATTTATTTATTTATTTTGTAAAGACAGAGATAGTTGTGAGCTGCCACACGGGTGCTGGGAATTGAACCCAGATCCCCTGGAGCTCCTCTACAAATAAATATTTAAAATGTAATGAAATCTTTCTTTGCTCATTTAGCATATTAAGTATTTTTGGTACATACAATCAACTGCCCTGAATTGCCAGTATAAGGATAAGCACATTTCGGCTAGGATTAATATTCAGGTTTAGAACTTCATAACTGTGCTATATGGCACTGGGTTGAAAAAAATTCTGATGCCTCCTTAAATGTGGAAAATGCTAGAAACAAAAATTAAGCCTGCTCAAAGGCAAAGAGCCCTCATACAATTAGGGAACTAGGAGAAAGATTCAAGCTGAGAAAACAGTTAAGCACAAAAGACCTTGCACGCTAGAATAAGAAACAGTCTTGAATCTATAGATAATTTCAGGCATAAGAAAGTGTAGTTTGGCTGAACACCAGAAGGGTTCCTCAACTAGGAAAATATGGGACAAATAGACAAAATTACAAGTTAGGCACTTATAAATTAAAGGCACCTAGCAAGTAGAAAAATCAAAACAATTTAAGCATTATGATTTCTGGGCCCTCACTCCAGAGGTGCTGGGCTTTATTACCTGAAGAGTTAGATTTGGGAGGCTGGAGAGATGGCTCACCAATTAGTAGGTAGCGTTTGCTGCCCTTCCAGATGTCTTGAGTTAATTTCTTAGCACCCACACCAGGTGGCTCAAAAGTGCCAAGAACTCTAACTCCAAGGGATCTGACACTCCTTCCTGCGCCCGAGGGCACCACGCACGTATATGGTGCATACAGGCACTCAAATGCAGCTCAGTTAGGTAAAAAGAATGTGGTATCACTAAGTGCTGCTTTCAGTTCATAAAATCTAGAATTTCTTGGGAAATTCACTCATGGTTAATGAATGGCTTAAAAGGAGGGAGAGGTTTCATTTGTAATGTTACAGGTCATTTCCCTGCTCCACCCCCAATAATGATTCTAATCCAATACCGACAGGAGAGATTTATGTCTAGTGCTTAAACAAATCCTTTTTTGCATTTCATAGCTTAAAAAATTTTTTTGTTCCTGCTTTTTTTTTTTTTTTTTTTTGAGGGTGATCTCATGCTCAGATTGACCTGGAATTATATGTTTATTTATAAATTATGTATTTATAGCTCCAGTTGGCTTTGAACTTGCAGCAATCCTGATTTAACAGTGTTGGTATTATGGGTGTGAGCCACAAGACCTAGCTATCCTTCTTGACACTTATCAAGGGAACTTGAATTTCCCTCAGAATTGCTCTAAATCTTTCAAAAACCATAGTAATGACACATTTTGGTGATGCTTGATAAAATAATTTTTTCTTCTATTAGCCTAACCAAAATAAGTTCTATTTAAGTGATGCCTGATTCTAGACTTCAAAATTTGGAAGAATAAAAATCATTTTACCAAAATCTACTAAAAGTCAGTATTTGCATTTTCTCTTCCCAGTCTCATTTGGTTTTGATAATTTAAGAAAGCCCAGGACCCTGGTGCATGCTTGGCAAACACTCTGCCTCTGAGCTGCACCCCCAGCCCTTTATACACTTTCTCAGGTTCATGTCAAACATAGGTGTAAAAATACACATATGAATGTCACTGAGAGTACAAACTGCAAATTCAAAGTTTATTCATTTTCCACCCAGAATCCTCTATTCACAGATTTACAAATATCAGAATATTAACATTCTTGAATGCAAACTTCCAGTTAGCATTTAACATTTCTTAATCTTAAAACCATGAATTAAATTTCAGTGGAAGCTTAAGCAACAATATTTGAAATTTATATATACTAGAGAATAAGTCACCAACTTTTCAAAAGCAGTGACTGAGTACTTAAGGTTTTTTTATTCTAAATTATAAATAGCCAATTCCAAAATGCATATTCTGTCTACTCTGTAATGTGAGCTATGAAGTACTAAGGACATAGGTATGGAAGGTAATCAAAAATCTCTTTGTAGCAAATGGTTGATATATGCTTGTTCCCTCCTCTGGCGTAACGCCAGCCAAGAACCTGTTACTACTGATTAAATCTTTTAGAGAAAGAAAAAATTAGTTTTAACTACCACTAAAATAGTAAAACCAGGGCTTTTGAGACAGCTCAGTGGTTGCATCCACATACATACATAATTTAAAACAACTTTCAAACAAGTTATTTTTTAAAAAATCTTCTAGCTGGGCGGTGGTGGCGCACACCGTTAATCCCAGCACTTGGGAGGCAGAGGCAGGCGGGTTTCTGAGTTCGAGGCCAGCCTGGTCTACAGAGTTCCAGGACAGCCAGGGATGCACAGAGAAATCCTGTCTCGAAAAACCAAAAAATAAATAAAAAATTAAAAAAATCAGCCGGGTGGTGGTGGCGCACACCTTTAATCCCAGCACTTGGGAGGCAGAGGCAGGTGGATTTCTGAGTTCGGGGCCAGCCTGGTCTACAGAGTGAGTTCCAGAACAGCCAGGGCTACACAGAGAAACCCTGTCTCAAGGGAAAACAAAACAAACAAACACAAACACACACAAACACACACAAACACACACAAACACACACACACACACACACACACACACACAAAGAGCCAAGGGCAGCCTGGTCTACATACATAGCAAGTTCCATGACAGCCAGAGCTATATAATAGCACTGCTAAACAAAGAAAGCTGCATGTTTCTTACCGCATATACAAGCTTTAATTTTACAATGATTTTCTTTTTAAAATCAGGAAAATAATTGACTGCAAGGAACTTATTCTGTTAATAGCTCAAATTAAAAGGAGGGAGGAGGGGGATCCACTCTGTCCCGCTGATTTGTGTTTATGTAGATGTGCCTGCCACAGTCTGAATGTGGAGATCAAGAAGACAGTTCTAAGAGTCAGTTCTTTCTCCACTATGTAGGTCCAAGGACTGTACTCTTGGTCATCAGCCATTAAGCTGTCTTGCAGCCCAGCACCAAACTTTTGCTGAGATCTTTTCAACTCAGCAGTGTTCTGGAATTCATTTCCCTAAACAAAGAAATGGCCAGTATTCAGGGGCAGGAGAGATAACTCAGCTGTTAAGAGCAGGTTTTGATTTCTAGAGGTCCTGAGTTTGGAGTCCCAGTACCCACTTCAGGTGGCTCACAACTGCCTTTATAACCCAGCTTAAGAGCTGGTCTGACAGCTCTGGCCCCTACAAAATTTTCAAGTTCCTTACTACTTGGTTGGTATTGATTCCAAACCCACATCACATTAAATATATTCATCACCCTTTACCATCACCTTATTAATCCAGCTACACAGCATACATATAGACAAATCTAAAAACCTAAAGTTTTAGAGATCACATGGGCCAGTTGTGGTGGTACACATCTTTAAACCAAACACTTGAGAGGCAAAGACAGGCAGAGTTCCAGGCTAGCCTAGAATATGTAGAGAAACTCTGCCCCAGAAAAATAAAATAAAATAATCATGCAAGGAAAAGTGAGATGAGCCTTGAGCAACATACAATGCATTCAGGTATAAAATTCTCTCTCTCTCTCTTTTTTTTTGTTTTTGTTTTTGTTTTTCGAGACAGGGTTTCTCTGTGTAGCCCTGGCTGTCCTGGAACTCACTCTGTAGACCAGGCTGGCCTCGAACTCAGAAATCCACCGGTCTCTGCCTCCCAAGTGCTAGGATTAAAGGCGTGCGCTGCCACCGCCCGGTTTTTTTTTTTCTTTTTTTTAAATTCTCAAAAACTAAAAGAGACGTCAAGTTTCTCAAAGGAGAGAAGAGCCTGATTCATTTACTTCTTTCCTAGAGATGAATTAACACATAACTCAACTTAGATGATAAAAGTGATTCTTTTTTGTTTTTAGAGAGGACTTCTTTTTGTGTAGCCCTAGCTGTCCTGGAACTAGTTCTGTAGACCAGGCTAGCCCTGAATGAAGAGATCTGCCTGCCTCTCATGGCATTAAAGGCACAAGCCACCGAGGCCCAACCAATAAGTAAATTCTACAACAAGCAGAGAAAGTTCACTGAAGGAAGATACAGGAGCTGGGATGACAAATGTGAGCCACCATGCTAGCCGAAGGTGCATTAAGTTATCCCAGAAAATGTAAACTTAAGTCATTGTTTCAAAAACTTTTTTGTTTTTTTTGGAGATAAGATCTTACTACATAACTCCAGCTGGTCTCAGAACTTGGGAAGATCACTAGTCTCTGCTTCCTGAGCATTGGAATTAAAGCTGTGCACCACCACATCCAGACTTGAACTAAGAACTCATCATGGTGGCGCACGCCTTTAATTCCAGCATTTGATAGGCAGAGGCAGGCAGATCTCTGAGTTGGAGAGGCTAGCTTGGTCTACAAAGTGAGTTCCAGGACAGCCAGAGCTGCAGAGAAACCCTGTCTACAAACAAACAAATAAACAAACAAACAAACACACACACATACACAGAGAAAGCATCATTAATACTTTCTATAAGCAGATAATCTAAATTTAAAACAAACAAAAGACTGTTTCCCAAGGACTATGCCCTGTAGGTGGAAGAGACACAGCCCTGCACTTTGAGCCAGGACAAGGAGGGTACTAAAAGTTACTGAGGCAAAGTTCTCTGCGCATCTTTAAGCACTGAAAACTCTCACATTTAAGTAAATGTTTCTAGACTACTTTGGAAGCTGCATCTGTACAGAAAGTGTTCATGCCCCCCTTTATAGCTGACCTCTAGGAGCAGTTGGGAGGACAGCATAAAACGCTAGAAACTGTTAAACCTCTACGACAGGAATATGGACCCCCCCCCAATCTCTAGTTTGTAGAGAATGAAAGAACAACATCCACAAAGACTGAGGCAACAAATAAGCCACTGCAGGAATAAAAGGCATTTAAAAGTTTATGAGACTTAATGTGTCTCTTACAGCAGGGTTAGAATCTTTGCATGTAATATGCATGTACAATTACAGAAAAAAAGCTCAAGGTATTTACCACCATTTTAATGTGGTTCGAAGTGTTCGAAATAGCTGAAGTACGATGTTTTAACCTTGTTTATCTGCTTTCTAAAACACGAAAATAGCCGATTTTCTAAACTGCCATGGCAATTCATTTATCTACAAGCAGATTACATGCACAAGCGTTGAAAAGCTCCAACTGCAACGCTGACAACTCCCAGGAACCCACCTGGACTTCAAGGACACACGCAGGAAACCCAGAAACCAGAAAAATGGGAGGGGGGGTGTGTACCAATCCCTATCTGACAGCCATGACTACCTCTTTTCAAGAGGGGACTGGTAGCTGTGCTCCCGTTTGGTAAAACCCGAGTCAAAATTCTCCCGTGTACCTCCTAGATCTCCAGGAGCAAGCGAGAGCAGCGGGATGGGGCACGGCAGAAGCTCGGCCCGCACGCATGGGGGTGGGGAAGTCAAGTCCGCCGCCTGCAACCTGGGGCTGCAGCGATCCCTGCCTTCCCTCCCTGGCTGGCGCCCGCGAGCACTCGCGAGCTTAAAGCGAGCCGCTCCGCCAGTGGTTCCTAGGGCTGTCTTCCCAACCCACGGGTCCCGGTTCCCATCTTACAGGGTTTTTTGGCATCCTTGATCTTCATGGCGTCGGCCTAAGGCGCGAGGGGTAGCCTCGGGTGCAGAGCTCAGGGAAGAGAGGTGAATACTCCCTAGCTGGCTGGGCCGCGCGGCGAGGCCCGGCCGGTTCCTCCCCTCAGGCCGGGCGGGGCGGGCCTAGGGCGGGGCGGCGGCGCCTGAGGCCACGGGCGGCCCACGGGGCGGCCCCGCAACCCCGCAAGGGGCAGCCGGGACCGAGCGAGCTGGGGAAGGCCGCGGGCCTCGCCGCTCCGTGGCCCCCCGCAGCCGCTCCAAACAAAAGGCCCCGGTCCCCCGAGCCGCCGCCGCCGCCGCCGCACTGAGAAGTAGCCCGCCCAGGCTCAGCGCCCACGTGACTCAGGCCCCCCTCGCCTCGTTCTCCGCCGGGCTGCTAGGAGTTGTAGTTCTCCGTAGCGTGAGGCTCCACTCTCCGGCGGCAGATGCTCCGGCGGACTACAAAGCCCAGGATGCCTCGCGACCCCTATTTCTAGGCCCCCTCCGCTTCCGGAGATCTCCTCAGAGTGGTCCCAGCGGGAAGGAGGCGGGGCCTTAGTCACGCCAGCAAGGAGACTGCCAATGGTAGCAAGCTGTGGGCGGTCCTGGCAATTCCCGGGCTCTGGTCTCTACCGGGCTGAAAGAAGAGCGGGGTTGTGAACTCTGAGGGTACTGTCATGGCTGTCACGCAGTCGCAGATTTTCCTCTTGATGGTTTTCCTCGTGATGGCTGTGTCAAAATTCAAGGGTCCAGACCACTGAGTACGTTTGATGAGTTAAGCCATTCAGTAAAGAAACGCCTTGAATATTGGAGTAGGCATGTCTCTAATGATGGTAGTATTTACTACATCATTATTATTTAATGTAATGTAATCGAACAGCCTTCTGAGCCACATGCAAGTTTTATTTACTGTGAAGATACAGCAGGAACTAGGCAGTCCAAACACTTGAAAGTTGTAGTATGGTCGTGGTGCAATGCCTTTAAATCCCTGCACTCTGGAGCCAGAGGCAGGCAAATCTCTGTAAATTCAAGGCCAGCCTGATCTATAGAGCGAGTTCCAGGACACCCAAAGCCACAGAGAAACCCTATCTCATAAAACAAATAAAACATTTGAAAGCACGTGCTTTCCAAGTTCCTCACAGGATCTCTCTAGTCTAGCTCCTCATTATAAAGAGGAAAATGTGACTTTCAGAGAAGAGAATTAGATGGACCAGTTCTCAGAATAAACCCAGGACACTCTACATCTCTTGTGACTTGAGATCATCCATCAGAGAGGGAAGAGATGGTATCAAGGACACGGCTTCTTCTCTACTTTTATGACTTAGCTGGCAAAGAATTCAGTGATTGACAATATACAGTTTGGTGGGAATGTAGTTCAGTGAGCTTGAGAGCTGGCCCTGGAAGATGGCATTCCAAGAAACATTTTAACTGATGAGCTTTGCTGTCCTGTCTTTGCTGATTGCTAAGGTTTGGGTTTAGTTGCTCTAAGCCAGAACTCACACTGAGCCTTCATTTCTCAATGGAGTAGTGTGAGAAGGTGGGGCCTTCAGGAAGTGACTGGGTAATGGTGCTGCCAACCTTGAGGTTGATCAATGCCTTTCTCTAGAGACTGCATTACATCTCATGGGACTGAGTTAGATCTTATGGGAATGAGTTGGGTCTGGAAGGTCTGGTTTGATTACTGAGTACTGCCGGATATAATGTTAAGTTAGCTGTGGTGTTCTGGCTTTGGGTTCACTTGTCACTCTCCTATGGATTCCATCTACCATGAAATGTTTGTCAGACGGTCCCTGCCTCCAAAATGTAAACACTCTAAACACCCTTCTCCCTCCATAACATACTGTAAGAAAAAATTTTTAATTGGCCAGTATCTCAGAATAACATGGGACCGTGAGCTCGTGAACTCCCGGGGAAGGGCCCCAGAGCAGGAACATACAAAATATTTCTGAAAACTGCAGCTATGTGTGTGCGAGATAAGAGAGAGCACTCCTGCCTGGAACATACTGGCTCCTCAGTTCCCCAGCTGTGTGCCGATAAGAAATACAATCAAGATCGTTCCCACTTAGGAAGCCCCTATTCCCCCGCCCCCCCCCCCCCCCAGTCTGTGGCTTTTGTCTTTATAAACCTGTGTATTTTGATGCTCGGGGCTCTCTCTCTTTCCTTCCCTCTTGCGGAGGTACGAGTCTGAGTCCCAGCGCACTGGTTCCTAGTAAAAGCCTCTTGCTTTGATTGCATTAAGTGGGTCACTGGGCCTTGAGCGGGGGTCCAAGCCTCTGCTGGGGCCTTACAATACCAAGGCTCGAGTATTTTGATATAGGCAACACGAGACAGACAGAAACATGATAAAACAAGGACAGAGAGAGAGAGAGAGAGGGAGAGGGGAGAGGGAGAGAGAGAGAGAGAGAGAGAGAGAGAGAGAGAGAGAGAGAGAGACCGACCCAGTGGGTGGTGGTGGCTCATGCCTTTAATCCCAGCACAGATAGGCAGATTTCTGAGTTCTAAGCCAGACTGGTCTACAGATCAGGTTCCAGGATGGCCAAGGTTACACAGAGTGTAGAGCCCTATTGTGTGTGTGTGGGGGGGGGTAGGGGGGGTAAGAAGGGCCCACACTTTTAGTCCTAGTTCTGAGGAAGCAGATACAGGCAGATCTCTGTGAGTTCCAGGACAACCAAGGTTAGACAAAGAAACCCTGTCTTGTTTTCTGGCTTTTTTCTTACCCTAGGGTTGTTTTTTGAAACAAATTTGTGTGGTAACCAGAGCTGATGGGAATACTCTAAATCCAGAAAAGCAACTGTTTACTCTTAGCCCTGGGAATTCCTGGCTTTAAAAAGCTTTGTTTTTTGGATGTGGTAGTGCACACCTTTGATCCCAGCACTTGGGAGTTAGAGGCAGGCAGATCTCTGTGAGGCCAACCTGATCTACAGAGTGAGTTCCAGGACAACCAGGGCTGCATAGAGAGACCTGTGTCAAGAAACAAACACATGACAATATAAAAGCCTCTCTTTATATGTAACAGTAACACTAGGAATCTTTTGAACTCACAGAGATCTGCCTGCCTCTGCCTCCTGAGTATTAGGATTAAAGGCAGGCAAGCACCACCATTGCCCGGCTCACTAGGAGTCTTTAGCTGAAAGACACATCCACACTGTGAAATAGCTAGGATGTTTAGACATGGTAATAGCTTACAGTCCTGCAGGAGACTGCAAAGCTGTCTCTGAAACCTCCTTTCCAGAATTAAATGTAAGCCCATTTTGTACAGAAACCAGGAAAAATCAGCCATTTGGTTAGCATATAGGTTCTGTTGTCCTAAGTTTAAAAAACAAAACAAAACAAAAGCAAAAGTTAGGCTGGAGAGATGACTCAGTGTTTAAGAGCACGGACTGCTCTTCCAGAGGTCCTGAGTTTAATTCCCAGCAACCACATAGTGGCTCACAACCATCTGTAATGAGATCCGATGCCCTTTCTTTATATGTAACAGTAACAGTGTATTCATATACACAAAATAAATAAATCTAAAGAAGAAGAAGAAGAAGAAGAAGAAGAAGAAGAAGAAGAAGAAGAAGAAGAAGAAGAATTATTACTAAGAAATTCTAGAGGACCAATGAGATGACTAAGCGGCAGAAAGGCCAGGCCTGATGAACTGAGTTTAATTTGTGGGCCCCACATGGTATAAGGAGAGTACCACTGTGACCCCAACATCCCATGCACAAACTCACACAAAAAATAAATAAGTAAATACATGTGAGTTTTAAAAAAAAGAAACACCATGAGTCATATCTCCTGGAAAAACCACGAATGTTGGTTAGCCATTTATGTCTTTGGAGGAAAGAAAAGAAGTGTAAAGTTTGGAATCCAAAGGAGAGTAAAGGTCTGTTCAGGCTCTGTAATAACCCAGGAGATAAAATTAAGCCACCACCATTTCTTAAGTTAATATGAAGGACAGGTACATTCCAAGGAAAAGATTACCAGTTGGGTTTTACTCAAATACTCCTCCATTTGGGATATATTTTCTGATGTTTGTTCATACTTCCCAGAATAGATAAAAATCTATCATACCCTGATCAGAAGAACTCAGAAGTTATTTTTCTAGAATAATACTTCCCCACAGCCTCAGAAACACCTTAGAGGGCTGGGCATGGTGGCCCATGTCTTTAATCCCAGAACTCTAAAGGGAGAGGCTGGTAGATCTGTGTGAGTCTAGCCATCCTAGACTACACTGTGAAACCTCATTTCAAACAAAAACTAAACAAACAAACCAACAACATTTACAAACACCCTGTGGTTTCTTAGCAACTCTTTGAAGATAATAGCTTCCAGGAGTGGAAGAGGGATGGACAGGAGGAGTATTTTTGACACTAGCCCCTAGCCTAAATCCAGGGTCATTTGTGTTTATGCTGCTGTTGTTGTTTAGTTTGGTTGGTTGACTTTGGGTTTTAGAGACAGGGTTACTCTGTGTAGCCCTGGCTGTCCTGGAACTCATTCTATAGTCTAGGCTGGACTTGAACTCAGAGATCCACCAGTTGCTGCCTCGTAAGTGCTGGGGTTAAAGGCGTGCACCACCACTAGGCTCTAGATTTATTTCCTTTCTGCTACTTGAGGTTCCCTAGAATCTGGATAGCCAGGGCTACACAAACAAACCCTGTCTTGAAAAACCACAACCACCAGGCGGTGGTGGCACACGCCTTTAATCCCAGCACTTGGGAGACAGAGGCAGGTGGATTTCTGAGTTTGAGGCCAGCCTGGGCTACAGAGTGAGTTCCAGGATAGCCAGGGCTACATAGAGAAACTCTGTCTCAAAAAACCAAAAAAAAAAAAAAGAAAAGAAAAAAGAAAAAGAAAACCAAAACCAAAATAAAAGTAAAAATGTTTTATTAGTGCTCCTATGACTATCAATAGCTATGCCCCTAAAACCTCAACAGACATGTCAAACTGGATAGAAGAAAAAGATCACAAGGCCCCAACCTTCTACAAGGAATTGTAAGCAACTAAGGAATACAGAGAGAAAGAGAAATAATTTTCTCTAGGGAAAACTCGTCAACTGGTTCTCTAATGCGATATGGTCAGCCCTGAAAACATACAGACTGTAACATTACACAGACTGAGCATGTTTTATTAGGAATATATATGTATATACAT